AACCTCTTGCGTACAAGGCCGCCCACGTGGATGTAGGTTGAGCGGCGGCTGCCCCCACCCCCGTGTGTCATATCGACCCACTTGCACACACCCAATGTGTATAAGAGACAGCACACACACACACACACACACACACACACACACACACAAACACAACACACACACACACACACACACACACACACACACACACACACACACACACGCACATGCACAAAAGATATTCGATGTGCAATGGATTCTGATGCGTCGCAAATCACAGGAGTACTTACTAACTTCCATACATTTACACACTTCGATGTCTAATTGATTCTGACGCATCACAAATCACAGGAGTACTTCCTAACTTCCATACAGTGACACACGAAAGATTGAGCAGCAGCCAACCTCTACCCACACAAATGTGCATTCGCACGCCACTGTCATCAACACTTGCACTTGCCACCACAATCCATCTTCTTGATAAGAAGATGCCTCAAGATCATATTCCAATTTTCAAATTTTTCAAACCCCACCGCCTTGATGATTATCAGTCTCACTCTCCACCATGAAGCAGCCATGTGCAGAGCTCAGGGTTCAAAGGCAGGGGAAGGAACAGGCAAAGCATGATCCAGTCCTTTCTCCTCTTTCTCACGGGCAAGGAGGAAATTAATTTCCTTTGCTGCGCAGAACCTTAACCAGAGTCACATTATAAAGTTTACCATGGTTTCTTTCCACTTCCCTTTCAGAGTATCGAGGGCCTTTTGATGCCCACTCCAGTGACTCCACTGCTGCCGTGGCGGATCAATCTATAAACTTCACCGTTGGATATTAAGCGAATGATGACAAGATTAAGCTTTTAAGCTGTCTACTATGCCGTGTCTCCCCCGCAGCTATCATTAGCCGCCCCATTACCGCAGAAAGCCGCCCCATTACCGCAGAAAGAACCAACATGAAGGCGAGTTGCCCCCCTTCTGCTGCATGCCCTGCTTCAGAAGCTGAGAGTGCAACCAGACGAAAGTAACCAAGTGAACCTCACTTACCTCACTCTTTGAGAGCTAACTTGTTCTCCCGAACATAATACACCCTCCTCATTACTCGACCATGATACCGAAAAGATAGCTTAGTGAACCCCACTTCTTGATGGATGTGTATAAGAGACAGCACTTACCTCACTCTTTGAGAGCTAACTTGTTCTCCCGAACATAATACACCCTCCTCATTACTCGACCATGATACCGAAAAGATAGCTTAGTGAACCCCACTTCTTGATGGCTACCTTCTTCTCTCGAACACAACACGCCCTCCTCATGACCGTATCGAAACGGCATAGATAGCCCTTGTATACATTCATGATCATCATACATTCTCTGTGGGAGAGAATGGTGCAGCAGCTAGAGCTGGTTATCCTCAGCTGGTTTGGCTGGCTGGCTTGCTGACCCGCTGCCTCACCAAACAACCAGGTTATGGAGAAAATGGAAGAATGCTCAGGCTCCTTGATGATGAGATACTGCATCTTCATGCCATCATGGTCTGCATTGACTCACAGCCGTGGAAAACGAATCCGCCGCTCGCCGCTCGGTTCTCTTCTTCGCTTCTCGGAGTCCCTCTTGTACAACACCTCACAACTGTAATTCCTGTGAATTTGTGAGGAGCGAAGATGTCAGGTAGCTGGTAATCCTGTGATCATTGCCTTTGGAGTAAATTCTAATAAGAATTGGATTCCAATGTGAATCCTGAGGCTGCCTAACTCGGGGTTAGACCCAGAAGCAAATCCTAAAAAGAAACTCATAGTAGTTCTACACACAAACTTCTTCACCGATTTCCTTGGCAGGATGTCATTGTCACGTCGTCTTTATTACTCTCGTCTCTTTCTTCCTCTTGTCGCAGGTTACTCAACTTGGTTGCCCCAAATGTGCCTCTCTCTCTCTCTCTCTCTCTCTCTCTCTCTCTCTCTCTCTCTCTCTCTCTCTCTCT